TAGGGAGAGAGTTGAACTGAGGTATATCTTGCCGTGATCTAAGCAAAGAATATTGCGGGCGCCGAAGTACTAAACAGAAGAGTGGGCTGCACGGCTCTCAAACATTGAGGGGAAATGTTTCAGAGACAATCTTGACATTTGACGCTGGGTATTTTACTCGTATTTTGCGTTTGTCATACGACTCGGCCCAGCCCCGGGCGGTAATTATACAACCGGGTAATGTTACCGGATGAGGAGACACCGCCTTTCTTCGCGGGTCTCGTGCTTCTGGGGCATCGAGTGCCCACATCACGCTGATCAGCACCGGTCAATTTACTTTGCCTCGGAGTTTCAGTAAAGAAATCACAGAGTAGATTGGTCACAATGTCTTCAGGGACTCACAGCCTGCCATGGCATGTTCTGGAAGAGCGGAAGCTGTGCTGCAGGACTCCGGTTTCCGCAGACGGGGGGATTGACGTTGCCCCGTGCGAACCTCGGCATCGGAGAGAAGGGCGCTTATCGGATTGGATCTCCTCCCCAGAGTCACGCCTTCATCTATCGACGGGGTTCTGGAACAGTGGAACCTCACCTCTACTAGTTGCCTTATAACCCGACCGCCACGACAGCCCCGTGCGCTGTCAACCTGATCTACCATCGTTCCCCAGAACGACACCTACCTTTCATTTCACCTCTCCATCAACTTTAATCCTGTTATCGCCACTGAGCGTGTGCCTTTGTGTTCTGGCATACCGAGATGGGTTCCAACAGCGGCAGAACAACCAAGCTCCCCTTGGTTCCGCTGCCCAAAGGATCGGTCCTACTTCCTGGCATTACGCTACGGATTCCTGTTTCGAATCGTCCGGATCTCGCCAATTTACTCTCGACAATCGTTGATCGATCGGCCGTGGCGAAGCGCGATGGAACGGCTATCACCTTCGGATGCGTTCCCCTCAGCTCACCTTATCTGAGCAAGGACGGTCAGCGACTCATCGATGACGGAAGCTTGGATGAAGACCGGAGGGAGGAGTTTGAGATGATTGATGCTGGACAAGCCAGAAAGGAGGATCTGTTTCGTCATGGTACCGTTGGTAAAGTGATTGGTATCCAGCGCCGTGCCTATTCGGAGCCGGCTCTCGTGGTCCAGGGTGTCCAGCGGTTCACTGTTAGGCGCGTCCTGAAGGAACGGCCGTACTTCGAGGCTGAAGCTGTTGTTCATGATGAGAAAGGTCAGTTTTCTTTCATTGCTCTGCGCTGTTGTTGCTACTTCTTATCTGGACGAGTGTCTAATCTGTCATTGCTAGAAACAGTCTCCGGCGATGCTGAAACAGTAGAGCTATTCCAACAGCTGCGACAACTATCTCGCGAGCTCCTGACCTTGCTGCGATTGTCTTCCTTACTACCTTCTCCTGGAAGCCGCCTTTCGCCACTCATTGCCCGGAAGTTCGAATTGTTCATTACCAAATCCGATGTCTCCCATGCGGGTAGACTGGCCGATTTCATGGCGGACGTCGCCGACTCCGGCTTTGAAGAAAAGCTTCGGATCTTAGCCTCGCTTGACGTCAAGATCAGACTAGAGAGAGTTGTTGAGATTCTAACAAGGCAATTACAGAGCATCAAGAGCAATGTGAAGGTCACCACAATCACTACCAACAGCTTTCCTAGCTCTGGGTTCGATATTAATCAGATTGATCCTCGTGACCGTGAGATTCTGGCAAGGAAGGCAATGGCTGGTCTTAGCGGGCTGACGCCACCCGGGTTGTCAGCCGGTCGAAACAATGACAACGATGACAAGGAATCAAACGAGGTCGATGAGCTGCAGCAGAGGCTGCAAGAGGCCCAGCTCAGCCCTGAGGCTAGAAAGGTTGCGGACAAGGAGCTGCGACGTCTTCGTAAGATGAACCCGGCAAATGCTGAGTACGGCGTCTGCCGGACCTACCTCGAGAATATTGCGGATATCCCATGGACTAAGATGACCGAGGACCAGCTTGGACCGGAGACATTAAAGAGAGCCAGGAAGCAGCTAGACGATGATCACTATGGCTTGGAAAAGATCAAGAAGAGGCTTCTTGAGTACTTGGCCGTGCTCCGACTCAAGCAGTCTACCAACAGAGATGTTGAGCGCCAGATTGAGTCCTTGTCGAAAGAGCTTGAGTCATCCGATGGAGGCGACCTCGAGAAGGAGGTACCTGTGTTGTCCGAGACGGACCGAGTCGCTGTTGAGACCAAGCTGCATATGCTGAAGACTCGTCGCATGGGCGACAAGTCGCCCATCCTCCTGCTTGTTGGTCCACCAGGCGTTGGTAAGACCAGCTTGGCGCGATCAGTGGCCTCATCGCTCGGTCGCAAGTTTCACAGAATCTCTCTGGGTGGCGTCAGAGATGAGGCTGAAATCCGAGGCCATCGCCGGACCTACGTTGCTGCGATGCCGGGACTGATTGTCAGTGGTCTCAAGAAGGTTGGCGTTGCCAACCCAGTGTTCTTGCTCGACGAGATTGACAAGGTCGGAGGCGCCAATTTCCAAGGAGACCCGTCAGCAGCCATGCTCGAGGTCCTGGATCCTGAGCAGAACCATACATTTTCGGATCACTACATCAACATTCCTATTGACCTAAGCAAGGTGCTCTTCATTGCCACTGCCAACTCTTTGGACACTATCCCAGCACCCCTACTTGACCGTATGGAGACCATCTCTCTGTCTGGCTACACTACGGTTGAGAAGCGACACATTGCTAAGAGACACCTCATTCCCAAGCAGATCAGAGCGAATGGGCTTTCGGATGGCCAAGTCGTTCTGTCTGACGAGGTGATTGACAAAGTCATCACGTCCTACACCAGAGAGTCGGGTGTTCGTAACCTAGAGCGTGAGCTTGGCTCGGTCTGTCGATACAAGGCCGTCCAGTTTGCGGATGCGGGCGATGCGGGCCGACTTGATGCGTACAACCCCATGGTGAGCATGGACGAGTTGGAAGATATACTAGGTATCGAGCGCTTTGAGGAAGAAATCGCCGAAAAGCATGGTCGTCCCGGTGTTGTCACCGGACTTGTCGCATACTCTACTGGAGGTCAAGGCAGCATTTTATTCATCGAGGTTGCAGACATGCCGGGCAACGGCCGGGTCCAGCTCACTGGAAAGCTAGGTGACGTGCTGAAGGAGAGTGTGGAGGTGGCTCTGACATGGGTCAAAGCCCATGCCTTTGAGCTTGGACTGACTGCGGATCCCACCGAGGATATCATGAAGAACCGCAGCCTGCACGTCCACTGCCCGTCCGGAGCCATCCCGAAGGATGGCCCCTCGGCAGGCCTGGCACACACGATGGGTCTGATCTCGCTATTCACCGGCAAGGCCGTACCTCCCAGTGTTGCCATGACCGGCGAAGTGTCGCTCCGCGGCAAGGTGATGCCTGTTGGCGGCATCAAGGAGAAGCTGATCGGTGCGCACCGCGCCGGTGTAAAGACCGTTCTTTTGCCCCATCACAACCGTAAGGATGTCAAAGATGTGCCGCAGGAGGTCAGCGAAGGCCTTGAAATCGTTTATGTAACGTGAGTATTTCATTCATCCCTACTTGCTGCTGCAGATTGCTAACATCTGACAGACATATTTGGGAAGCTATCCGACAGGTGTGGCCAGATGCCCACTGGCCTGGTCAGCACACCAACTTCATCGAGAGCCGACTGTAAGGGCTCTCTCCACTCACTCACTATTAAATCCCAACACGGCAGAATGGCCCGTGTAGATAGTACTTGTGCTTTATTATTTGTTCTCTTATTGTCCTTTTAAGCGCAGCGACCACTTTCCTTTACCAGCGTCAACATATCCTCAATTCCACACATAGTTATCTGTCAGTTACAATCAATTACTATTTCAATCACCCAGCTCATCCCAAACACAATGGATAGTATTGAACACACACAAGTAGGTAGTAATATAAATATAATACAAGACGACAGCCATCAATCACAAACTGTCTAAACCCTGATATACCAAACAAACAATTTCTAAACCAGCATATCAAACACAAAGAAATCACGACTTAACCAACGGCCTCTCATAATGCCCCAACCCCAAAGCCTTCCAAGTCGGCCTCCACGGCTTAGCACCCTCCAACAGCTTCTTCGCATCCTCCTTATAAACCTCCCTCTCCTTCTCATCCGCCTTCATTCCCGCATCCGGCTTCTGCTTATCCTGGATCTCCTCCTGGTATTTCTGAGCCTTGAAGAACTGGTCCTTCTCCCATCTGCACACAAACACCCATATAGTCAGCATTATCCCCAAACCGAACAAATCCACAGAAAATAAACAAGGAATAAACATACGGAGCCATATCCTTCGGCGCCTCAGGCCAAACAAACGCCTCCTTCATCTCCACCGTCATCTTCTTCTTCGACTGCGGGCGACGAATCTTGCCATATCCATAGCGACCCAGGGATTTCAACCTCGTCAGCTTCTGTTGCTCGACGAATGAGCGCACGCTGACGACGCCCACGCCGTACAGGCGCTGCAGGTAATCGCGCATATCCAGTTTGTTGAAGTTGAGCGGCACGTAGAAGGTGGCGTAGCGGGGAGGGAGGAACGGCGTGCGGATTAGGGCGATTGTGAAGTCGGGACTATTTTATTCAACATCAATTGTCAGTGTATTCCTTCTTGTTTTTTTCCCCCTTTCCATTGTTTCTGTATGAGGTGGAAATTGTATAGGATGGAGCGTACAGGAAGATCTGCTTCCGTTCGGACAGAGGCGCCGCGGGACCGACCCAGTCGGCGGGCTTTTTGGGGAACTTGGAGAATCGTCGGACCATTTTTGACGGGGTGAATTGAATGGGTCCGATTGAGGTGGTGGTGGTAGTGGTGGTGATGATATTCGTGAGGGAAGATTGATTTGATTTGATATGCCCCGGCGGAAAGTTCGTCGGGAGCAAACGTGAAATTGCGTGGTTGGCCGCGTCGGGTACCGTAGTGTGGTTTTGGTCGGATATTTTGTAACAGAGTCCTGGACATTAATTATTATAAGCACGAGGGAAATAAACTTCTGTTCATTTTGAAATATGGTTGAATGAGAAATATTTTATATTCGTCATGGTCATTACTATCATTTACTGGTGTGCTGTTTACTGTCCTTCCGATACCTGCAAGTTCCCAAGTCGCCGGGCACTCTCATCCACCTCCTGTGATTGTTCGTTCTCCTCCCCTTCAGAGCCGGAACCCTCCTCCTCTTCCTCTTCTTCCTCCTCGTCGCTCTCCTTGTCTTCATCGTTGTCTCCATTGGCGCCAACCTCCTTCATGTAATTCTCCAGCTCGCGCGCCATCTTCCTCGAGAATCCCGACGCCTCAACCTCCACATCTAACCGCTTTCCGGGGTTCTGGATGAGCTGCTTCCTCGCAGCCTTGAAGAAAGGGCCGGGAGCGTCACTAGTGAAGTGGAACTTGCGCTGGAAGTAGCGCTTGATGCAGTTAACATCACGGTCAAAGTACATCTCCGCATTGGGGTGGTCGATCGACACCATCTGGGGGAAATCGATCATGACTGGCTCCAGCCGGATATTCTCATCATCCTCGTCATCCTCACGGCCCTTCCCCTTAGCATCCGGATCCTCTATTTCCTTGATAAGGATGTTGAACTCGTTGAAGTCACCGTGAATCAGACCAAACCGCGCCAGCTGCACGATCATATCCATCAGCTCCGAATACAGTGATGCGGGATGGGCGACCTTGGAGATCTGTCGTAGCGGAAACGCATCGATCAAGCTCATGACGATGGTGTGGCGGTTCTGGGCAATAGGTTCGGGGACGGAGAAGCCGTTCTCTCGTAGGGCCTTCATGAAGGCATATTCCTTCATCGCGGCCAGGCGCGACATGTACATCCACGAGCCAGTGTTACGGTGTCGGAGATAGTCGCGGTTTGTCTTGACGGTACGGAAAGAGATACGACCGAGACGATGAATCTTCAAAATGCGCTGTGTTCCATCGTGACCGGCGACGACGATAATATCGGACTCCTTGCCAACGCCAATCTGGTTACCGACGGAGTAAATGCACTTTTGCTTCTGGTGGGCGTTGAGGGCGAGGTAGTCGAGGCCTCCGTAGGTGAGACGGTATCCATCATCTAACAAGCACTTGTTAGTAAATAACTCCCCTATACATAGCAACAAAGGCGACAACCGTACATTTCGCATTCTTAACCTTAGCGATCAGGTTGGTCTTGGCGAGGTTGGAGATAGACCGGTGCACTCCGCTGCCACCGCGAAGGCCAGCAATCTGCGCGATCAGAGGCGTGGGCACGACTTCATGGTTTCTGCTTCCTTGTTCAACCTGCGACACAGTTCTGTTAGCTGTCAGACAACAGGCTGCGACCAGAGGGCGGGGGAGGGGCATACCGCGGAGAGCACGCGGAAGTCCTCAGAGGTGAGGTAGCGGATCGCTTTCGGATCGAGCTTCATGATGCAGTGTTTTCGATGTCGGAATCGGCTGACAAGTTAAGCTACCGACTGCGTATAGCGTGGAATGTGAGTCTGCGCTGTCGATGAAGGCGTCGACCATTACATTGATGCGCGGAAAAGTCAGGATGCCGCTGCCCTATGCCCTAGTTTCCTATTTCGGATGTCTCCAAGGTCCTACAGAATATATAGTCCTGTGTAGTTCGTTGCTCAACGAAAATATTCAAAAGAGAATATAACGAATCACTGGTTTAGTTGTAAATCGTAAAGATATGTCTACTTGACTTGTTAGATGCCCCTCTGTGACTTCGAAGTTGCTCATCGCCTTTCGAATCCGGTAGTTTACTAGTTACACTGCATAGTAATATATACATCTACTACGGACGGGTGTCGAGAAACAGCTTCAAGTTTGGAAAATAGTAGTAGCTTGAAGAATCCCTTCATAGCAGTAATACTAATATTACTACTACAACCCTTACTAGTCTATTGGTGAAAGAATCTGTTTCAATTGAGGTTTCTCAGACATATATAAGCCTAGAAGTCATACTAGCATAAACCACCTGTGCCACATCCACCAGTCTAATTGATAGATCGAATATAATGACAATCGGTGCCTGCTATTTTCCAATTCGTGCTGATTACATGAGACCACAGTACCTGAGCAGCAAGCCCCCTGCTCAGCTCACCCACAAAGTCGTGTCACATCGAAGGACCATTAAACCGAGTCTGAGCTTTCCCAGTTGGGGTTCTGTCATATCATTAGCATCATGTTTTATCATGTTATCACTAGCACGGATTATTTACCTTGCGCAAGATGACCAGACCCTCTAGGGTGCTGCTGAGGGGAATGTACTGCTCGTCTTCGAGCTCTGCACGTTCGCCGTAGGCCAGCAGCACCGGCGTGCTCTGTGTTTGCCAACCGGTGATGGTCTTAGGGCGACCCGCCTGGCCAACAACGTCCACGGCCTGACCGACCCGGACATTGACGGTGAGAGGCTGCAGGTCTTCGTCGAGCGTGACAAGGAAGCGTGGGTACATGGCGGTGATGAGGAAGTAGAGGAGGTAGTGGTGTTCGGCGAGGACGAATTGCTTGGCATCGATCATAGACACCAGGACGGTGAGCAGACCTGCGGCTGATACGCGCGAGAGGACCTGGCGATCTGTGTGGAAGGGGTTCAGGGTCATTGTACCCTTGCCCATGTGCAAAAGACCCTGGGCAATGCGGACCATGAACAAGGTGTTCTGGTCGCGGTGGTAGTAACTGGCCAACTGCCTAAGCAGCTGCGCCAGACGGGCGTTCTTGGTACCAGCACCGCAAAGACCCATGGCGAAAATGGCGTTGATAGCGACATCGTTGTCGGTGTCGTGACTGTACCGGGACAGAGTGTCGTAAACCTTCATCTGAGGGTTGCTGGGTGTGATCAAGCCCATGGCAAGGGGAACAGCCTTGCGGATGTTGCTGGCACCGTAATGCATCAGGTGGCCGAACTGCCGCAAGATCATATCCTGCCCGACCTCCTCACCCATAGCAATGAGCGACAGACCCAGAACAGCATACGACTGAACAAGCTCATCACCCTTGTTCTCCTCAGTCTCGTCGATGATATCATTGCAGATGTGGAGGAGCTCCTGCAGTTTCAGGACGGTGCCAGTACCCGCCCAGGCGCAGACCGAAGCAAGGACCGAGGTGGGTTTAGCCATAGGATGATCGACAGCCTTCAGGATGTCAAGGATAACGTCGACCTCTTCCTGACGACCGAAGTAAAGGAGCGCCAGACCCAGGGCCATGAAGCGAGTCCACTTATCCTTGAGCTGCTTCTGCCGCTCCTCGTCCATCAATGTGGTGGCAATGGCCTCACTGACCTGGTGATTAGAAGATCCCACAAAGATAAGACCCAGGGATACAGCTGCCATGGCAGACAGCTGCATGTCCAAGGACCCATCCTCGACAATGGGGAGTAGAACCTCAAGCAACTCCTCCTTGTTCGATCCGGCATAAGCCAGACCGAGACCCATGATAGAAGCTACTCTCATGGGCACACTCTTGGCCTCGAGATTGTCGGGGTCACTGAGGAGAGCCAAAGCAGGGTCGGAGTCTATCCGCACACCAGAGTTGAGGATACCGATAGAAAGCAATGCACCCGCCTTGATCTGATCCTCCGAGGCGTAGGTATACCTGTCAATCTTGTCCAGACCAATCTCGACATCCCTGTGCAGAAGCATACCCATCGAAGCAGTCGTCGACAGCATGCCGTCATCCTTGGTCTTCCAGACCCAGGGGCCCTTGTCACCCTCCACAAGCATCATTTTATCGTTGCCATATCCAGCGTTGGCGAAGGCGTTGACAAAGGCACTGGCGAGGTTGTGCCTGGCGGAGTCGACATTCGTAAGGCCAGCACCGCGGCTGCTTTCGAGGTGGGTCTTGTAAATGTCTTCCGGCATCTGGGGATCAAGGATGTTGAGCTCTTTTCCAAGAGACTTGAAGTGCTTTGGAATGGAGGTGTTGTTCAAGCTGTCCATGAAGGACTGGTCTTCCTCTTCCTCAGGAAGGTCAAGCCATATTTGTTGCCGGGAAACAAGGAACGCCATCTGCTTCTTGAGCGACCTATCCTCAGTGGCATTGATATCGCTCTTAATGAGGTCAATGTCGTTCAGACGGATAGCAAGAACAACGGCCTTGGTGAGCTCCTTGTAGCGGACATAGATCTCATGGGCGGTACGAAGGAATTGCTGGTCTTCGGGGTATGTGAGGAGGTTGACCATGCTGACCATGTACAAGCAGACCCTTCCGTATGTGTTTTCGTCCAGAAAGCGCGGGATCTCCTCGATAATCTCGAGCTCACTGAGAAGGTCGACAGCATCGGCTTCGGCGTTGTGGCTCAGGAAGTAGGGAACAAGAGACAGCGACAGGTCGATCAAGTCCTGTACATCCTTCTCAGCGTTAAGCCGATTTTGGTACTCTTGCCCAATTTCCAGCGCCAGGTGTCTGATGTATTCGTGGCCCCAGGAACCGAGGTCTTCGGACTTGGTGAGAAGGCGGTACTTCAGGGTTTCGAGCTTCTCCTCATCTCCGTAGGTCATGCCAAGAACCGAGAGCATATCGGCGAGCGAGTCCTAAAGACACATACTTGGTTAGGCTGATAGGATGGTCTGCATGACGGGCAACGAACCTTAACCGGGCCGGCCGCCCACTTCTCATAGAGCTCCGTGAGCTCATCGTAATGCGGTCTTAGAAATTTCAGGGGCTTGGGAACAGCAGTCATAGAAGATGTCGAGGTCTTGATGAAGTTCTTAATCGCGTCCAAGGCAGGGGCGTACAACGAGGTATCGGGCTCCTAGATGGCAGGTTGAGAGTTAACGTCATCGCTCGGGACCCCAACAGAACAGCTTCATCCCCGTACCTTTAACCTCTCCACGAGCATTTCCAGCTCATTCTTCAGCTGCTGATCCTCTTCACTGAGTTCTTCTGTAATATCCATCGTGTTAGCACCTCGATCAGAGCACGGCATTAGCTGATGTCAGGTGCGGCGTCGGGAGGTCCGCGGCCTGACTCGACATGTCCACCTACCCTCTTTCGACTCGTCATCCTTCTGCTTGCCATCGGCTTGTGGCTTCTCATCAGCCGCTGTCTTCTTTCCTCCAGACAACTCCTTGATATCGTCAACCTTGCCCTTGCCCTTGTCGGCGGGAGCTGACCGCTCGCCGTCTTGCGCCATCTCTGACGGTTATATGGCGAGTAGTCGGGGTGTGTTCGGGAACGCGGATAGACGGGAGATTTAGAAAACGCGAGTGATGAGGGTGAGAGTGGGAGCTTTGATGCGATAAGCCTCCTCACTCTAGGCGATGAAGTTGGGATTGGGTTATAAGCTTGTTGATGGGAAACAGAGAGAGCTCGCTCTTCGTCGCCGCTCGGGCGTTGCGCTCCTGTGGAGCTCCCACCGCTTATGTAAGACAGCGCCCGCCAAGAGATTAACTACTACACTTTCAGCCTTAAGGCATCGATTGAATGTTCTACCAATGTACTGACAAAAATCTAAATTGATTGTTGAACGAATTACACGGGGTATGAGCCGCAGCTTCTTGTAGCCCCAGACCATGCATCATTACATACAGCGAATATCATCCGCCCAGACAAAATAAGCCCCCTGAACCCGTTTGGCTGCTGAGGCTTCCATCGGCACATCCCCCATGTCGAGTGCGGAACCATTCCCTGTACTCATCTAGATCCCGGCTATAAGCATAGCCAGAGAGCTTCTCACCGCTGTAGGACAACAATGGCAAGTGATCAATGGTAGGCAGCTTGAAGGAAAATCGTTCAAGAAGCGGCATTACTGTTGAGGCTCGACTCAGTGGCTTTTCAACGACTCCGAGCCCCTCCGCAGGACCTGGTGTAAGCGGCTTCGACGGGTCTGTTATCGCTTCTGGTGACGGTTCGGTGAGCTGGGGTGAGTCATCCTCAACAAACTCTTCGGGAACGTGATATAGTTCGTTGTGCACCGTAGCAAGGGTAAAACTCCCCTTGGAAGGGAACGTCGGGTAAAGCAGGTAATATCCTCTGCCTCGGATGAACTCAAGGAGGTACTCCATCACGGCTGGATATTTCTTCGATATGAGCTTCTCCTGGGGTGATTGCTGGCCCATACTCTCCTGAACCATGAACCGGTTTGATAAGAATTCGTGGAATTCGGCCCACTTATCGCCGAAATATAGAGCTGCATTACTGTTGGGGGCCTGCCAAAGAAACAAAGGCAATAATTCCCCATCGCCCGGGTCAGAGACATGGTTGCTGTCAGCTTCTGGTGGTTCGAATGGTTTGCCGTCAGTCAAAAGAGACGTCGGAAGCTCAAGCGAGATGCCAATAAGCTTGGTAGACAGCTGTTTGGTGCGGGAATGTTTGTATTTTAGCATGGTATACATCAAATAATGATAGAAGGATGGGGCTAGCTCCGTCTGTGGAGAAAGCACAAGCACATGGGACACAGCCGGGTCCCTAGGATAGAAGG